ACGATTATCTACATCATGATCATATTTATCTTCAACTTCATCATCATCATACTCATCATCCTCATCATCATCATCATCATCATCATCATCATCATCATCCGAAACATCCGCTTCATATTCATCATCATCATCATCATCATCATCATCATCATCATCATCATCATCTTGATCATCATCATCATCATCATCATCATCCGAATCATCATCATTATCATGATCATGACCATGATCATCATCATCATCATCATCTTCCGAATAATCGGAATCAACATACGAATCATCATCATCCGAATCAACAACAACATCATCATCATCATCATCATCATCATCATTACCATCATCATCATCATCATCATCATCATCATGCAACTCATCATCATCATCATCATCATCATCATCATCATCATCATAATCCAAATCATCAACATCATTACAATCATCATCATCATCATCATCATCTTCATCATCATCATCATCCAAATCATCATCACCATCACCATCATCATCATCACCATCAACATCACCATCATCATCCAGGTTATTTTCATCATCACCATGGTCGTGATCGTCATCCGAATCATCCGAATCGTCATCCGAATCATCATTGTCATCATCATCATCATCATCATCATCATCATCGTCATCAACATCATCATCATCATTATCATCACCATCATGCAAATCATCTTCCAAATCATCATCCTTATCATCATCGTGATCATGCAACTCATCATCATCATCATCATCGTCATCATCATCATCATCAACGTTATAATCATCATCTTCATCATCATCATCATCCGAATCATCAACCCAATCATCATCATCATCATCATCATCATCATCATCATCATCACCATCATAATCATCATCATCAACATCATCCGAATCATCATCCAAAATATCATCACAATCATCGCCGTCATCATCATCATCCGAATAATCCCAAACATCATCATCAACATCATCATCAACAACATCATCATCATCAGCTCCATCGACATCAACATCAAGATCATCCCCATCATCATCATCATCATCGTCATCATCAGCAACATCATCACCATCATCATCATAATAAACATCATCTTCATCATCATCACCATCATCATCATCGTCATCATCATCATCATCTTAGTCATCATCCGAATCATCCAAATCATGCGAATCCTCCGAAACAGCATCACCATTATCATCCTCCTCCGAATCATCCGAATCATCGTCATCATCATCATCAACATCATCATTTTCATGATCATCATCATCATCATCCGAATCTTCCAAGTCATCGACATCATCATCAGCATCCAATTCATCGTCATCTTCATCATAGTCATCATAGTCAACCGAGACCTTAGAATCATCGTCATCATCACCGCAGTCTGCACCATCATCATCATCTTCCAAATCATCATCATCATCATCATCATCATGAGCATCATCATCATCATCATCAGCATCATCATCATCATCATCAACATCATCGTCATCATCATTATCATCCTCATCATCATCATCATCATCATCATGATCAGTCGAATCATCCTCGTGATCATCATCATTATCATCATCCGAATCATCCTGATCATCATTATCATCATCCTGATCATCGTCATCATTATCATCATCATCATTCGAATAAATATCATCGTCATCTAAATCATCATCATCATCATCATCATCATCATCATCCGAAATATCATCATCATCATCATCATCCGAATCACCATCGGAATCATCAGCTTCATCATCATCCTCATCATCATCATCATCAACATCATCATCATCATCATCGTGAACACCATCATCATCATCATCATCATCATCAACGTCATCCGAATCATCATACATATTATCATCACCATCATCAGGGTCATAATTATAATCCAAATCATCCTAGTCATCATCATCATCATAATCATCAACATCATCATCATCATCATCATCCGAATGATCATCCGAATATATCATCACCATCATCATCGTCATAGTCATCATCCGAATAATCGGAATCTTCATCATCATCATCGTCATCATCATCACCATCATCATCATTATCATCTTCATCATCGTCCGAATCATCATCATCATCATCATCGTTATCACCATCATCATCATCATCATCATCAACATCATCCGAATGATCATCCAAAATCTCATCACCATCATCATCACCATGAACATCATCGGAATCATCATCCAAAATATCATCACCATCATTATCTTCATCATCATCATCCGAATAATCAGAATAATCATCCGAATCATCATC